AATGTAAACAATCCTCAAAAGAGTCACACCACTTTAATAGACAACGCCATGCAATCAGGCAGACGGCAGGCATCAATCACCGTGCGGGTGATGGAGTCTTTCAGTGGCACAGTAGGACGAGTTACAATATTTCGTGTCCGAGTTTTATTCCCAGTTAGTGTTGGTTCATCATGGTAATGTCAACGCCTGCTACAAAACACCCCACACTGGGGAAGCATTCCTGTCCAACCATCCGTGAAGCGGCAACGCCATCATGTTGTGTATCAGGTAAACATATCTCTCCCATCAACATGCGCCGATTAACATCTTGTCCTGTCGCGGTAATCTTTCAGCACCTGTCACATCCTTAATTGTCATAAGCACCGCCAACATTTAAACTTCGGGTGTGGGGTTTAACTATTTCATTGTGTTCTGTCTAAGATATGGATCTAGACGTGATGTGGCTGGTGGTTAGCCCTCTAGTTCATGTATTTGTACATTTCGCTAGATTATCTCTGGTCCAGTTATTTACAGGCTTCCGTGATGTCGCTGGAATAATGTTTACTGCGTCGCGAAACAAACTGCGCTCACTCTCATTGGGCCTGGCGAATATGCTACTCTTAACCAACAGGCAGGCTTGGAGTGAGTGAGTGAGTGAGTGAGTGAGTTGGGTTTAACGTCGCTTTTTACGGTATTCCAGTTATATTACGGCGTGTCAACTTAATGTGGGAGGAAAGCCCGAAGTGATGCAGGTCTCAGAAGTTTACCACTTCGGTGAAACCCACGAGCACGGGTATGGTGCTGACAAACCTAGAAACATAATCGGGGCGAACCGGGATTCGAACCCACAATCATAGGTTTCTGGCGTGCCCAAGGGACGCAACTCCGCACAGCGAATCGCGGCGCCTTAGACGACTGGGCCACCCGGGCCCCCGGGCTTGGACAGAAGAAATCATGTAACGACCATTTATTTTCACCTCTCGAAACGAGGAGACGAAAGCCGAAAGTCGTTTTAAGCCATGCCCTGAAAATGGGAAAACTAAGAATGTTATCTGCGGGCTAAACGAGGCCAGCGAATTGTGGCGCCTAAGATCACTTTGCCACCATTGATACCCATCATGACCAATAGGTGTTGTAGGTATATTGCTTCAAGATGCGGAAAACCAGCACAGACTCAACAGCACTGATGTGTGCATTCATCGGAGAGGCAGTGGGGTAGACTAACAGTTAAAGCCTTCGCTCGTCATGCAGAAGGCCCAGGTTCGATTCCCCACTTGGGTACAATACCTAAAGCCTATTTTCTCATGTCTGCCGCCGTAATATTGCGCAAAAACGGCGTAAATTCATACTCACTCACAAATCGCAAGTGCCATCCGCACACAAATAGACTCCTGTCTCGTCCCTATATTCATGTTCTTAAAGTTTTGTTTGTTTGTTGTTTAACCCCGCACTCAGCAATATTCCAGCTATATGACGGCGGTCTGTAAATAATCGAGTCTAGGCCTGACAATCCTGTGATTGACATCATGAGCATCGATCCAGGCAATTGGGATACAATGACATGCATCAACCAAGTCAGCGAGCCTGACCACCCGGTCCCATTAGTCGCCTCTTACGACAAGCATAGTCGCCTGTAATGGCAAGCCTGGGTTGCCGAAGACCAATTCTACACCGGACCGCTGGAACGTTGACTTTGTCATCGTATCCCAATTGCGTGGATTGATGCTCATGATGTCAATCACTGGTCCAGACTCGATTATTTACAGACCGCCGTCTCATAGCTGGAATATTGCTGAGTGCGGCGTTAAACAACATACAAACAGAAAGAATACCGAATACCCTGGAAGTTTAGCATACATCTATCCCGGCACAAAGGTACAAACCCATCACAATGAATGAGATCTTCTTTAGTCATTTCTACGGTGTCACGCCCTAGCAGATCAGGCACCAACAAAATTCTGGTTTTATTGACGTTCCTTGGTACACCGTCGTTCGATTCCAATATTCTCTACCCCAACCCCCGCTGTGAGGCAGGGTAGCGTCTCTGCCCCGTCCCCATACTGATGAACGAGCTACCCAGGTAATTCAAATTGAGGAGAGCTCAATGCCGCGACCGCTGCGACAACAACACACTACCATCGACTGGTGAACAAATGTCCTGCCAGATAGACACGGGGATCTTCACTGGCGGTGACACGCTCTGGGGACTGCGGACAAGGGCTTCATTTTGATCTCGATCTATGGGAACAAGACAGCATATAGGCATACGGCTCTATGGTATTCAGTTATTATCTGCTGCATGAAAAGAAAGAAGAGTGAGTCTTAACCATCAACTGTGAAACATCCCCCGTGCCGCGAGGGCACAGCTCAGTGCACTGCGATGTCAGCGTTGCGAGCGTCACGTGACCTGCCGTTCACAAACTTGCACAATGGCGAGGCATTTAGCGGTTGCGTTTTGGGCTGTCTGCCAAATGGCATGCGCTGCTGTGCGATAAGGCAACACTGGGTTGTGACTTTCGGCTCACTCTCAGATGAAATATTTTGATGTTTTTAACAGTGTTGTGGATAAAACGTATAAATAGCATCTGTTTCGACTCTTCCATGCGAAGTGCAATATATCGGTGCAGAATGAATGAGTGAAGTGTAGCGTTGCCCTTGGCAGTATTTCAAGAAGAGTTGTTTTACACCGCACTCAGCAACAGTTCAGCTGTATCACGGTATATTCAGCCGGTATTCAATAATTCCTGGTCAGGCGATACAGTGGTTTGTAGCACGAGCGACAACCCATGCTGTCTGGGTACGGCCCCAGCTAGAGATACCACAAACACCCCACACAGACACTGTGGTCATCCGATACCCCATACAGTTACTGTGGTCATCCGATACCCCATACAGTTACTGTGGTCATCCGATACCCCATACAGTTACTGTGGTCATCCGATACCCCATACAGTTACTGTGGTCATCCGATACCCCATACAGTTACTGTGGTCATCCGATACCCCACACAGACAATGTGACAACCCAATACCCCATCAGACACTGTGACCACCCGATACCCATTATTGAAACCGTAGCCACCCGATACCATACACAGTTACTTTGGTCATCCGAAACCCCATCAGGCACTGTGACCACCCGATACCCCACACAGTTACTGTGACCACCCGATACCCCACACAGTTACTGTGACCACCCGATACCCCACACAGTTACTGTGTTCATCCGATACCCCACACAGTTACTGTGTTCATCCGATACCCCACACAGTTACTGTGACCACCCGATACCCCACACAGTTACTGTGACCACCCGATACCCCACACAGTTACTGTGACCACCCGATACCCCACACAGTTACTGTGACCACCCGATACCCCACACAGTTACTGTGTTCATCCGATACCCCACACAGTTACTGTGACCACCCGATACCCCACACAGTTACTGTGACCACCCGATACCCCACACAGTTACTGTGTTCATCCGATACCCCACACAGTTACTGTGACCACCCGATACCCCACACAGTTACTGTGGTCATCCGATACCCCACACAGACACTGTGACCACCCGATACCCATTATTGAAACCGTAGCCACCCGATACCATACACAGTTACTGTGACCACCCGATACCCCACACAGTTACTGTGACCACCCGATACCCATTATTGAAACCGTAGCCACCCGATACCATACACAGTTACTGTGACCACCCGATACCCCACACAGTTACTGTGGTCATCCGATACCCCATACAGTTACTGTGGTCATCCGATACCCCACACAGTTACTGTGACCACCCGATACCCCACACAGTTACTGTGACCACCCGATACCCCACACAGTTACTGTGTTCATCCGATACCCCACACAGTTACTGTGACCACCCGATACCCCACACAGTTACTGTGGTCATCCGATACCCCACACAGACACTGTGACCACCCGATACCCATTATTGAAACCGTAGCCACCCGATACCATACACAGTTACTGTGACCACCCGATACCCCACACAGTTACTGTGGTCATCCGATACCCCATCAGACACTGTAGCCACCCGATACCCCACACAGTTACTGTGACCACCCGCTACCCCATCAGACACTGTAGCCACCCGATACCCCACACAGTTACTGTGACCACCCGCTACCCCATCAGACACTGTAGCCACCTGATACCCCACACAGTTACTGTGACCACCCGCTACCCCATCAGACACTGTAGCCACCCGATACCCCATCAGACACTATAGCCACCTGATACCCCACACAGTTACTGTGACCACCCGCTACCCCATCAGACACTGTAGCCACCCGATACCCCACACAGTTACTGTGACCACCCGCTACCCCATCAGACACTGTAGCCACCTGATACCCCACACAGTTACTGTGACCACCCGCTACCCCATCAGACACTGTAGCCACCCGATACCCCATCAGACACTATAGCCACCTGATACCCCACACAGTTACTGTGACCACCCGCTACCCCATCAGACACTGTAGCCACCCGATACCATACACAGTTACTGTGGTCATCCGATACCCCCACAGACACGGTGACCACCCGATACCCCACACAGACTTCACAGAGAGTTTTCTATCATATTGTATAGAATACGGATATACAGGATTCTTTAAAACCCGTTGGCGTTCGTCACTATCGAAGTTTACTACTGTACATGTCAATAACATGTTCTATCAAAGTAGTGTCGGACTGTGAGCTACTACTGCGCCCACGACCACATTTCCTTCTGTCTAAGAAAACAACAAATATATAATAGCCATAAGATACCACGACGTCACAAGAAAGGATTCTTGTTTATAGTGTCAAATGTGGGTGGTCAGAAAACATCCCCGCGCGAAAACAGGCCTGAAATAACTACACATATATTAAATTCTACATCTAAACGAAATATGAAGCTTGGGAAATATCAAAACACCCACCGCCCCCAAATTTCGCGTTCTAGTCAGCCAGGTACACGTAGCGTATCGCTTAAACGCAGCTCGGGAGCAGGCCGTCTACCGTGGGCTAGTTCACCTGTGTCGGCCCGCTCACTTCACTCGACAGTAGCAATGAGGACAGACCGAGCGTCGTACAGGTGAAGAGCGGATTACACACACACATACACATGCTGGGATATACCATGACGAACCCATGGCACTGCCTCGCCTGGGTAGGAATACTAGCAACGATTTCTCTTACAGGTGAGTTTATATATTGCAGGTGAAAATCTCAAGTTGGTTACGTGAACGTTTACCTGTGTTCAGTAATGGACCCCCGCTGACAGACTGTTATCCTCGTATTTCTATCTCGTCCACCTTGCAGTTTAACTCAAAACAATCATAATTGTTCACAATTCAAATTTTATTATTATTTATAAATATTTTATACAATCACCCATGCTCGGTTAAAAGATACGAACAACAGAAATCCTTTATAAAAAAATAATAATGGCAATAGCTCATTTTCTCTCCATAACTCACGATAAAAATGCAGTACACCATAATGATTTGTATTGGCTAGGCGTCAATACTAACAAATGAATCGTGGCTAAAAAACATTTCAATTAAAACGAACCTTAACTGCCCAATAAATAATTTACAAACAAATGAAACATAAACCACTTTTATTTCTACACTGTCTGTCATATTTAACATGTATTTCAGAATATAACGGCATATTTAAAATTTACAATGTTTCGTATTTATTGTCACGGTATTGACAATCGGCCAACAACACAGTGGGTCGCATGCTGGTTGACAGACCCTCAGATACACATGGCGTTCATTCGGTCCCCTTATCAACACAACAGCTGCAGATTGACGCGTCTCCACGTGCAGGGTGACAGGGAAATAGACACATCTGGGTACATATAGCCAATTAGCTGATGGTGGAGGTGATAAAGGTGCCTTCAAGGAAATCCTTATTTTAAAAAAAAGCATGATTATGACAAGCATTAGGTTGTCGGCTGTATGTGATATGCGTGATCATAGATGGATGATTTCACACTCTGAACATAGTTACTTCCGCGAACAACGCAACGTGTTGGTCAGATGCTTACATGTTTTAACGATGAAATATAACAGAGAATTATACTAACCCAAGTTAAGTGGATATTACAATAATTATTACACATACCGTATACGACGTAATAAGCGCCCAGGGCGCTCTCAAAATTAGAAATAGGGGGCTTTTATTAGAATATTATTTTGGTGGAAAAAAAACAGAATTGAAAGATAATTTTCGTGGTTTATGCTGATGGTCTGAACTGTTTATATACGACAGATATATTTTTCCAGAATTTAATTGTCCATAATTAAGGGTGCATATGACACAAGTGCGTATTGTTCACTTGCCAATATATTATCAAATATCGCCGTGGGCGCTTACTAGAGCGGGGCGCTTATTACGTCGAATACGGTAATATACGGCGAAATCTTTGCACCATAGTAATCAGTCCCTAGACGAAGGCAACAAGACATGAGAATGGATACATCAGTAAATTTCGTTATTAATTACATGTGGGTTAAGGCACTTCGACTTATCCAGTGTATCGACTCATCAGATTCCGTGTAATACGCATCTAAATAACAAAGTACTTTGTGAGGACTATGAATCAAAATTGTTTTAAATTTTGAAATTAAAGTTTGATACCATGTATATTAAATTTGCAACTATCAAAATAAATTGCCCCTCTTCTTTGGTGATCTACCCAGTTTTCAAATTCGAGTTGAGGTTTTGAGCTATTTGCAACTTTCTTGACTCATACACACTAATAGGCCATAAGTAGGAATATTCCTATAATTATATGTAAAACATGTGATGCCCATTTCTAGAGTCCCCGCCGTGAAATGCTGGAATATTGCTAAAAGCGGCGTAAAACCATACTCACTCGCTATAATGATATGGCGAGTCTGGCACTTGTATTGAAGAGATTTGTTCTGGGAAATTTTTGAACAAATTAGTTCAGATTCTACACGCAAAAAGTGTTCACTGATCCTGTTTTTGTTTTTGTTTTAAAAAGGCTATTATCGGACAGAAATTGTATGTCTTGAAACGGTAACTTGATATCATTCGTCTCCAACGCAATCCCCAAATATCATGTTAAAGTTGATTATTCCTCCGCACACTAACCCAGTCTCCGGCTTCACCGTGTGACAGCGCCATAGTTGAAATACAGAGAACTATGTCTGACAAATGGGAACCACTGGGACTGCAGTCGGTGATGTATGTGTTGTGACATACGGCGCTGCAGGCCCTCGTTGTTGCCGACCCCCACTGTCATGCTGACTCTAAGTAATGGATCATAATGAATGGCCACATTCAACTGATATACAACAAGAATTATCCTGCCCTTGGTGACGGATTTAGACGATTGGGTGCTGTTGTGTTATTGGAAGATATTAATAAACCATTCAACCCCCACCCCCATTCTGTACACTCACTCCGCATTAACCGTGTGTACTTACACACATATAAAAATATGTACGATAGGGTAGCACAGTAGATTGTGTATCGCTTTGTCTCATCGGAGACGGTTTTATTCCTAATATGGGCATCATATTGAAGCCTTTCCCTTGCATCACGTGCAGGTTCAGCAAGCAGTGAAAAGCAGACGGGGGCTTATTCTATTATTCAACTCTAGTAGTCATGTAAAGTTAAACGTCGGTTTCATGTGCATATAAATCAAACACTGGCGCTCACAAGGCACAGAGCGTCTTAATGTATCTCCAATCTGTCACAATGAAAAGTCGTTCTGGTTGCTCTTCCGTCAACGTGACAACGGCTTGACAGTCGAGCATGTTCATAGCTCGTGCACACGGTAGGGGGCGGGACGAAATGGGCTGACAGACAACCTGCCACCTTAAACTCACATCAACTGGAACACTATTTGTATTTCTAATAACCACATTGTCAAAAAGTGTCGCGAGCCCTGTCAATGTACCGATACATATGTTAGATATGTTCATTGTGGGAATAACACGAGTAACGTTCAGACAGTATCGGCGGCCATGTCGTTATTGTGATGCTCATCATGTCAGCGACCCTGGTTCGATTCCCCATATGGATAAACGATATTATTGTAAAGCTCATTATTTATGACTGTCTTAGTATTATATTTGTGAAATAATGGAAAACGAATTATCTTTGGAAGCTTATACAAAGAGCTTTGTTCCTGGCCAATTTGCCGTTCTAGCGAGTTTGATTCAAATCGTGCAAAACCCACACCGCTTTTCTGCTGAGCCACACTCTCTGACTTCAATCAATCGAGCAAAACTGACTAACCCGTGAACATCCGGGTTAGAATAGATCTTATAGCAACCGATGCTTATCGTTACAGGCGACTATGCTTGTCGTAAGTGGCACCGAACGGGATCGGGTTGTCAGGCTCGGTGAATTGTTGATGCATGTCATCGTATCCCAATGCTCATGATGTCGATCACTGGATTGTCTGGTCCAGAATCGATTATTTACAAACCGCCGTCATGTAGCTGGAATATTGCTGAGTGCGGCGTTAAACAACAAACAAAAAACCAAAACAATCATTCCATACGCTCTATACCATATATGATATAGCGTCTTGGCCTGGATTTGAAATTGGCTAAACTTCGTACCGGTATCTTATCTTGCCAGCCGGTATTGGCACAACAAAAAATATGCTTATAATAACTTGTAGAACTATAGACACCTATGATGTAAGTACAAAAAACATTGATGACAACTAATATTGCAAATTAACATAGCCTGTTCACTCAAAACTTAAGCGAGCTACCGGCGGCGCCAAATGTACCACCAGTCCATTTAAACTGTTTATCACAAACTGCAAACGTTGTATACAAACATCAATATTTGCACATACTCTCCCCACCTCCTCAAACCCTCTTGACCGGCGTTAACCCATGTCGAGTGTGGCTTGATTAAACCTCATTAGACCGACCTGGGTAGTGCCGGGTGGGCGGAGGGTCACCGCTTATCTGTACCCTGTCAGACAAGACACCTTCTTTGTTCTCAACAAACACACATGGCTTTGTGGGTACTTTGTGTTGTCATTGATGTTGAGAGACACTTGACGTTGGCATCAGTGCACCCCTCCCCTTCCGGTCACTGTAACACCAGTGTCCGTCTCAGGCTACCTGTGTCCGTCAGCCCATAAAAAATCCCAGGTTATTATATTAGATTTATAGTACTAGCACACTGTGATACCATGTCGCAATTTAACAGGGTACCCCACTCACTGTTTACTGACTCCGAGCCGACAGGTCCTTGTTTTATTCCCTTAATGCCAAGCGCCAGGCATGGTAACAACAAGTTTGTTTTTTGTTTATTTGTTGTTTAACGTCGCATTCAGCAATATCCCAGCTACATGACGGCGGTCTTTAAATAATGGAGTCTGGACCAGACAATCCAGTGATTGATATCATGAGCATCGATCCACGCAATTGGGATCGATGACATGCATCAACCAAGTCAGCGAGCCTGACCTCCCGATCCCGTTAGTCGCCTCTTACGACAAGCATGGGGTGCTGAAGACCTATTCTACCTTGGATCTTCATGGGTCCGACAAGTATCATCTTTTAACGTCTTTTGGTATGAGGCGACCGGGGATCGAACCACTAAGACCACGGAGGCGGTCAGGCCACCTAAGAGTTTTTACAGAAGAAAATGGACGACAGGCTTGCGTCTGCGTATTTAATTCTCACAAGTTACCCACTGTACTTACTATTACAAAGTAGACACAATTTACTTTTTTAATTACTGTAAAGGCGACTTTTTGGTATAGATCCTTATACCGTTGTCAAACAAGAGACGGTATAAGGATCTCTACAGTAATCTTTACAGTAATTAAATAAGTTGTTATCCATAAATTGTGTCTACTTTGTCATCCACAGCTTCTAAGCTAGTTTACCAAACAATTCAGAACTTACTGTTAATCAAATACATGTAGTTTCTTTTTCATTAACTGTTTCATATATTTCAAAATGTGATTTTAAGAGCTGTGTGTCGGTATTCTGGGAGGGACAAATACTGTTCTTGTTGTAGTGTTGGAGATATGCACACCCGCTGGGTCCCCATTGTCATAGTTGTAAGATATAAGCATAGGTGCTATTTATTCGGGCCTGATTGAACTGGAAACAATACTTTTATAACGTACTCATTTTTTTCAAATTTCTAACCCTCAAAGATAACAGAAAATGAAAATCAT